GGAAATAAGATTGTATTTACACAAAACATATTCAGCTTTGCAAGTTTTTACAAGTTTCTTAATATTTAATTTATTTTTTACTGTTGTGCTGGGTAGGGGTACACTGTAGAATTTACAAAAATTCTTGCATTATATCAAGTGGGTGTAGGAGGGTGAATATAGTGCTTTGCAATTTTGATTTCGGAGCTCTTACTTGTTGCTTTTTTAGTAGCTTTGGATTCAGAGAATGAAAACTGTTCCAGGCATGGGAAGATATTAAAATATAGCACGCATATTTACAGCAGAAAAACAAAATGGAAACTAAAATTTGTAGAGAACGTTACACTGCCGTCTTTATAAATTTTCCTTTATGTGATCCTGCCTGTTTTCTACTTTGGGTTTGTGTTTCCTGAAAGTATTTGCATAATCAGAATTATATTGAAAGTCAAAGAAAATTTAAACAAAGGACAGGTAATAAAATATTATCAGAATATAACATTGTTAAGAAAAATTTATAAAATCAAGTGATTTTCACCAGAAATTATTAATCTAATTTTGTAGTATATTATAGACCTGTGTTTTATTTTGCTTACAATGTTTTAAGCAAAACATTAGATAACTCAGAATAGAGTACAAAGAAATTAAAGGGAACCAAAGAGAAAATTATAATTGTAAATAGACCCAAAAATAGATAATCCATATGTGAGAAATTAAGAATTAACTATAATAGCATTCAACATAATTATAATGTATTATCTTCTTACCAGATGATAATCTGATTCTACATTACAATGGAAACAAAATCAACTTAAATGAATGCTTCTTTCATATATTGAAACAGTACACAGATCAATAAATGAAAATAAGAAGCTTTGCAAACATAACATTTGATTACCAAAAAATTTGGTGCCAGCAATTGAGATACATATTTATGGTTGAATTGTGTATTGTTCAATATAGATCATTATTTTCTCTTTCAGTCTTTGACACAGTAAATGATTTGACTCTATACCATTAGTTTTAATGTAAAATAACTTAAAATTCTCCAATCTTAAAATGTACTGCTTGTTCTTTTCAAATAATCTACACATATACTATTTGCAATGCACAAGAAACATTCCTATGCACAAATCTAGTTATTAGGAATGAAAAACTGAACTTGGAGTTGCAGAATGTTAGTCTTTCAATACATATATGTCTCCTGAATTTAGATCATATACCCAAACTTAATCAACTCATTAGTTATTATATCCTTTAGTAGCTAAGCCTTTTATTTTATTAACAAATATTATTTGTAGAATATAAATGTGCCTTGCTTTCATTGATGATTTTTAAAAAGTGCCACAGCTCTCAGGCTTTTTTATTTTATTTGTTTATTTATTTTGTGGTACTGGTGCTTCAACTCAAGGCCTATACCTTAACCCACTCCACCAGCCCTTTTTTGTGATGGCTTTTTCGAGACAGGGTCTGGAAAACCATTTGCCCAGGGTGGTTTCGAACTGCAATCCTCCTGATCTCTGCCTCCTGAGTAGCTAGGAAAACAGGCGTGAGCCACCAGCACCCAGCAGACATTTTCTATTTGTCATCATAATTTATATTGTAAGAGAGTAACAACACCTCTTATTTCATTCATAAATTTTGGTTTACTATAATATACTATTCAATGTTTTCACTTTGAAGAAAGATTTTCACATATCCTTAATACTATGTGTAATTAAAATCATAAGTTTTCTTTTTTTAATCTTAACAAATCAGTCTTAAAAATAATCTTTAAGGCTGGCAGAGTGGCTCAAGTGGTAGAGCACCGGCCTACCAAGTGTGAGGCCCTGAGTTCAAACCCCAGTACTGGCAACAAAGAAATGTTTAAATGTAAAGATCACAATAATTTACAAATCTTTGAATTTAATTTTCATTATTTTTTTTAGCATAGAGTGTTTATTTAACTTACAAGATTTGAAAGATAATGCTGGTTTAAATATTCAGATTTTCTTTTTTGTATTTTTACATCATTGTTGTACCAGGAGTACATTGCGACATTTACAAAAGTTCTTAATCTACACCATAGTTAAATTCACCCCCTCCATCTATGTTCTTTATCCCCCTTCCCCTCATTCGTAGAATAGTTTCAACATGTCTCATTTCTCCATTTTCATACATGGCAATATAATATTTCTACCATATTCACCTCCAATGCTTTCCTTTAGGTTAAAAAGGTGAATAAGTTTGATGTACTTTCTATACCAGAATGCATATAGAATTTTTAAACCTGTTGAAATTACCATAATAAGGGGACTAAGGTAGAAAGAAAAAAAATAGAGGAGATGAACCAATTTGGATTATAATACATACATTTAAAAAAACATCACAGGGAAACTCCCTGTGTAGGTATCTTAAATAAGCAAACATGTCTTTTTTTCACTGAATCTTTATATCTATGAGTTGAAAGACAATGATTAAAAATATGGAATTAAAATTGTCACATTTATCTACTACATCTGAATTGTGTATATTTTATTCAGTAATTGTCAGTATTTGTTTAATTTGTCCTTTTGTGTTTTGCTAATTTTTCCCAGACAGGGATGTATAAAATAGCACTGACAAATAAAGGTATATATAAAATAGAAGAAACAGTATCTTAGTAATGAGAGTTTTTTAATTCCTGGGAGAACAACAAGGTTTTATTTAAAGTTACTTTAATTTTTTGACGTGTTGTGGCTTAAGTCTGTGATATTAGCTACTTGGGAAGTGGAAATCAGAAGGATCACCATTGGAGGCCAGCCTGAGAAAAAAAACATTCTCAAGACTCCATCCCAACCAATGGCTACATTTGATGGCAGTGCCTGTCATTCCAGCTGCACAGGGATGCACATAAAGGAGGATGGCAATCCAGGCCTGGCAGAGCATAAAGCAAAACCATATCTCAAAAATAACTGACACAAAAAGGGCCGGAGGGATAAGTCAAGTTGTAGAGGACCTGCCTAGCAAGGCTGAGGCCCTAAATTCAATCACAAAAAAAAAAAAAAAAAAAAAAAAGCAGTTATTGGAATTTTGCTTACTTCTAAATATTCCTCTTTTTAAATTTCTGCCATCACTTTTAGGAAAAACTGTAACTTTCATTAAAATTTTCTTTTCTTTTTTATTATTCATATGTGCATACAATGCTTGGGTCATTTCTCCCCCCCTCTTATGCAAATACCTCACATTCAAGAAAAGGGGATGAATACTGTACGTACATAGCTATAAATCAGCAAAATGGAGTAGTGTTAATAAATTACAGTAAAATGGAGCAAAAAAGTAGAGAACAGCATCATAAAGAGAAAATCCAGAAAATTAAATTGAAAGAAATAAATTAAAAGAAAATACAAATTTTGTTTTCTTTTCTTTTCTTTTTCTTTTCTTCTTTTCTCTTTTAATCAGTTCTAGGGATTGAACCCACAGCCCAGCACATGCTAGACATGTACTCTACCACTTGATCTATACCCCTGTAGCCTTGTTTTTATATTTAATTGTTTTAAGACAATGTCTCACTGCCACTTTTGCAAATGCATTCCTGAAACTCACAATCCTCCAACCTCAGCCTCTCACACAGCTGAAATTGCAGGCCCATGCCATACCTGGCTCATTTGCTCAAATTTACGGAGTAGTTAATATGAAGAGGACATTAGACTTAGTACAACATGGGTTAACAATAAAGACATTATAACAAATGTACCACGGTATTGTTCCTTATCAATAATGTATATCTGGAAATTATACTTAATTTTAATAAATATGGTTACTTATATTTCAACATATTTGCTAAGATATTCTAAAAATGAAACAATTTTGTGTTACTTATTGAAGCAAGTAATGAGTCTTACCACATGCAAATTTGAAAAGAAAGAAGAAAAAATACCCAAAAGAGAAATGTTTGCCATTAGTTAAACTATACCTGGGCACTATAGGCTCAAACCTGTAATCCTAGCTACTCAGGAGCCAGAGATCAGAAGGATCACAGTTCAAAGCCAGCCCAAGAAAATGGTTTTGAAAGACACTACCTCAAAAAACCCTTCACAAAAAATAGGTCTGGTGGAGTGGCTCAAGGTGAAGGACCCGAGTTCAAACCCCAGGACCGCAAAAAACAAAAAACAAAACAAACAAATAAAAAAAACTATAAGCTATGTGTATACATACAGAAGGATCACAAAAGAATTCATCACAAAAGGTGGTTTGTAGTATAGATTTGCATTGAATGGTAAGGTATAAATTTTTCAGAACAAATTTCACAAGGAATATGAACTTGTGTATAGTTCATTGAAGTTTATCAATCTATCAAGAACAGTACTAAGGGAAGAACTTGAACAAAGAATAAAAGCCTAAAGTTATACTGTATGTGAGAGTGAAATCAATATTTATCTACTGAAATAATGCATTTCAAAGAATAATACAGTATCTACTGTAACCAGGTTGAACTGTACATAATTCAATAAAAGTACATATAAAGTCAAATAGAATGATATAAAGAAGTAAATTGAAAGCAGTTGGAAAAAAAGAGCCAAGGACTTGTGTTCAATCCCCAGCACCAATAAATTTCTAGATAAATAAATAAATAAATAATATAAAGCAAACTTTATCTTCATATTGTATTACTTAAAATAAGAGTTTCACTGAAATGTTTTGGATGGTTACCTGTTAGGCTTTAAAACATATATTTATTTTTAACACTTACAGGTTTATAATTTGCTGAATGTATAGAGGAATAATAAGGAATAAGGGGAATAATTAACTACATTCTTTCTAATATCTACTACTTTTCAACTAATTCTAATCATCCTTTACAGGTGACTATACTTTAATAGTTTTAGAGAACTAATGACGAGATTATCAAAGGTTATTTTGTTTGCTTTCTTTTTTACCATTGTATATCTGGTATAAAATACATCATATTTTCTATATAGCAAATTTCCCAGGGCAATGTATTTTGCATTCTTAACAATATCAAAGTTAGAGCATGGGTAGCAAAGAGTATGTACGATACATACCAGAAAATTGATAGCAGATACTGTGACTTGCCTGTTTCCATATGCTAGAGGGTAGGAAAAGAAGATGTCATGAAAATATTCATATTTTGGACAATCACATTATTGACATAATTCAGTCAATGTTTATCAGATATAACTATTATCTAATCAATAATACAGTGTGGTAAGTATTTCTCTTTGTGGATGATACTTTTACGAATTAAAGTGATGAAATACTTTGGTATTTACATGTAAAGTACATGAATTCTAAATATTATTTACATGTTGAAGGGAACTAAAAACATTTTTAATATAAATGGAATCTCCAATTATTAAACTCTTTGAAATCAGATTTCATTTCTCTCATTTCTCATTCTAAAACCACACATAATATGATCTAGCAAACAATAGTACCACATAATATCTGTTTTTAATGTTTAATAACTAAAAGAAGAATGATAACACTTATTTGTATATTGCTTCATTTCAGAATTAACTATTTTAAATGTGAAAATTTGTGGGAGTGTTTTGTAGTAGACATTATATTAAAAGCTTTATATTTTATCATACAAAGCAAATATGTGAAGGAAGTATGTTTTCAACCTAAAGAAAAATAAAGATGTACAAATTTCCAAGATTATACAAAGTGTAATGGACAAAGCAGGATTTAAACAAGTGTATGAAGGAAACTTGGTCATAGTGAAAAAGATGAGATATACAAAAATTCTAAAAACAAAATTATTTGAAAAGGTCATCATGTGCATAAGACATTAAATTTCCACTTGCTTTGTGTGTGTGTGTGTGTGTGTGTGTGTGTATACGCGCGTGCATGCAAGTTGCATTTATTTATACAAATACTTCTATAAATAAAAATTAACGTGGTGACATGTCAGAGTTCTCAGGTACAAGGGAGATGGAGCCAAAAGGTTCACGAATTTGAAGCCAGTCCTGGCAAAGTAAGAGAGAGCCTATCTCAGAATACAAAATACAAAAACAAAAGGGGTGAGGGGGGCTAATGTGATAGAGAATTTGTGCAGAATGTTATGGGCCCTGGGTTCAATCCCCAGTGTCCCACACCAAAATAAATAAATAAATGTCATATTATTTTGAAATTTGCTTTGTTTATCTATGAATATTTTAAAAACTTTCTCAATACTATTAAATACTACTATTAAATATATACTCAATCCTATTAAATGTTAACTACTGTGCTAGAAACTAAACCTTAATAAGTTAACTACATGTTCAATCTTTAAATATTATCTAGTTTCTGAAGAACTATGACCCAATGAAGAGAATATCTAAAATACTGAGCTCTGATAAGTAAAACAGTATTTTAAATAGTGAAAAAATTAATTTCCTACCTGATAAATGATAGTTTGTTTGAATGGATTAAAAACTTACAAGCATATTTTAGTTAAAATTATGTATTAGATACATACAGACAAAACATATGTGCATGTATTAGAACCTCTGTTTTATAAAGCACATATATCACATGATAAAATGAAATACATTAAAGGTGAATGTTTAAAAATAAAACAATATAAGGGTAAGGAAAATATGCTAAAAAATCCTATCAACTATGGAAAACTAGTTATTACTTTATTTTTCCCTATAAGGTATTCATTCATTGGACATTTTTATAATATTTGATAGAACAATTTTATAGCCATCTATTCACATAATATTGTACAATTTTCAGGGGCAATGAAAGAAAATTGCATTATAAACATAGATTTTGAAGATAATACAAAATCTGGCTCAATGATCTGTTTTACAAGTTTAAACAAATGTGTTTAATGCAACGCACAATTGGAGTAAAATATCTTAAAATAAAGAAATGTCTATCTTGCTTAGTTACAATGTTTGTTTCATTTTCCTCTCACAAAATTTTCCTTATAATCTAATTATGTTGTAGAAGGTGTTGCTCAAAACAGCCTTAATGTGTTCTGTTTCCTCTTAGGTTACCTTGCCATGATCTGTTCTTTAAATATTATGATCATTATTTAAACTGTTTAGCTCAAAAGTTAGATAAGAATGTGTTTTAAAAATATTTAGTTCTAATTTTTAAAAAATTGTACATATTTACATTGTACTTTTAAATTTTATTTCATATCACCTAAAGGTAATATCATTTGGAGTATTTTTGCTTTGTGGGTATAACATTGAATACTTATCATCTAATACATGGTCCATTTTTAAAATTTTAAATAGATGATCTATTAATTCTAATATAAGCTACAAGTCAAAGGAAAACTCAAGAACTCTTAGGAAGATATAAGAAATGCAAAGTAAGATTTTTGTGTAGCATAGGTACATAAAAGTGAAACTCTAAGAAAAAATACAAACTATTAAATGACATACAAATTGGATATATTAGATCATTCATGTGTTAGAAGTGTAGGCTAATTATCTGAGATGCATATCACTATCAGCTTAAGAGTAAGAGCTTCTTATACACTGATCAAAACTCAAGATCAAATCAATATAGTTTTTTGCTTACCTGTGCCCATGATAATGTCTATTCAGAATTTACCTTCTGACACGCTATGCATTGGCCAGTCCATTGTTCAGTTCCCTTTATTGCATTACTTGTATAAACTATGGATTCTCTCCCAGTCATTTGCTGCTGGAACTTAGAAAATCTGCCTACATTTCAATTTGGCCTCCTCATCTTCCTAATGGGAATAGCAGTAGTATACTTTTCATAAAGATTGATCGAGAATAAATACATCAATTGCTTACCACAGGGACTGAAACACAGGCAGCCCTAGAAAAAGTCAATCCGTAGCTACTTTATTATGTTTGTGAGAGGAAGGAGCCACTTTGTCATGTGCTGCTTTAGCAGTCACATCTTCATTGTTCCCTTTAAAATTCTTTCCTTGGTGACATCTACTCTATGAGGATTTGCAGTTTTGTCATTATTCTTTATGATGCATTGTGAACTGAAACTCACAATGGATAAAAAAGAAAAATTCAAACAATATAGGTTGGTAGACTGACACTACATTAAATAATATGAAGAGTTATATTCTAGTCTAAGGAATTAACTAAAATGAATGGAATGAATTTGTGATTTGCAGATGTGTTTTCCTCTATGAGGACCTGGCATTATCCTGGGATATTACAGATACTCTATGGATATTTGTTGAATTAAGAAATAAATGCCTAACCCAACTGTGCTGTATTCCATTTTTGTAGCCCATTGCATCTCTAGAGTGGGAAGAATTTTTGTTTTAATCAATGAGGTTTACTTCTGGAAAACAATCATGTCTCATGTTTTTTTGGTTTGCATTTTATGTAGTGCATCAGTTATAAAAGTACATGAGCATGTCCCAATAAATGTTTCTCAAATGTTCACTCAAATGCTCTTCTCCTTGCAATGGTATACTCTAAATTGATAAATGTGAGGAATGTTTACTTTGAATGTTTGTGCAAAGAAGAGACAAATTAAATTATTCTAATTTGGAAATAATTTATGTAACATTAAAAACTGTTTTACTGCAAAAATGTGATAGCAATACCATTTATTTATAATCAGCAATGTAAACTGTTAGAATTATTGCCACAAAACTTGATTCTGACTGAAATCTTTCCATACTTTGGTGAATGGTCAAAATGAGTTCTTTTAAGTTGGTTCAGTTTCAACATTTTTTTTTTCTACTTTCAGTGTGGGAAATAACTGCAAGAATTCCTTTTCTTTTTTTTTCCTTTTGGTGGTTCTGGGGTTTGAACTCAGGGCCTCACACATGCTAGGCAGGTACTCTACCACTTGAGCCACTCCACCAGTCCTATTTGTGGTTTTATTTTTTTTAAATATATTTTATTCATATGTGTATACAATGTTTGGGTCATTTCTCCCCCCACCCCCATACTCCCGTGCCCTATCTCTCCTCTCCACCCCCTCTCTTCCAGGCAGAAACTATTTTGCTCTTATCTCTAATTTTGTTGAAGAGAAAGTATAAACAGTAATAAGAAAGACCAAGTGTTTTTGCTAGTTGAGAGAAGGATAGCTATACAGGGAGATTCCTCGCATTGCTTCCATGTACAAATGTGCTACATTCTAAGGTGATTCTTCTTGAACTAATCTTTACTCTATTTCCTGGTCCCCTTTTCCTATTGGCCTCTGTTGCTTTAAAGTTTCTGCATTAATTCCTTTGTATTGAGGACATCAAATGTTATCATGTTTTTTTGGGTTTCTTACCTATCCTCATACTTCCCTTGTACGCTCTTGCCTTATTATGTAACGAAAGTCCAGTCCCCTTGCTGTATTTGCCCTTGGTTGAAAGTCCGCGTATGAGGGAGAACACACGATTTTTGGTCTTCTGAGCTTGGCTAACCTCACTCAGAATGATATTCTCCAGTTCCATCCATTTATTTGCAAATGATAAGATTTCATTCCTCTTCATGGCTGAGTAGAATTCTATTGTGTATAAATGCCACATTGTCTTAATCCATTTGTTAGTAGTGGGGCATCTTGGCTGTTTCCATAACTTAGCTATTGTGAATAGTGCTGCAATAAACATGGGTGTGCAAGTACCTCTGTAGTAACCTGTGTCACATTCTTTTGCGTATATCCCCAGGAGTGTGATTGCTGGATCATATGGGAGATCTATATTTAGATTTTTAAGAAGCCTCCAAATTTTTTTCCACAGTGGTTGTACTAGTTTGCATTCCTACCAGCAGTGTATGAGGGTTCCTTTTTCCCCACATCCTCACCAACACCTGTTGTTGGTGGTGTTTCTAATGATGGGCATTCTAACAGGGGTGAGGTGGAATCTTAGTGTGGTTTTGATTTTCATTTCCTTTATGGCTAGAGATGATGAGCATTTTTTCATGTGTTTTTTGAATTTCTTCTTTTGAGAAAGTTCTATTTAGTTCACTTGCCCATTTCTTTATTGGTTCATTAATTTTGGGAGAGTTTAGTTTTTTGATTTCCCAGTATATTCTGGTTATCAGTCCTTTGGAACACAAGAGACCATGAATAGCCAAGGCAATACTAAGCAAAGGAACAATGCTGGAGGTATCACAACACCAGACTTCAAACTATATTACAAAGCAATAGTAATAAAAAAAAAGCATGGTACTGGTACAAAAACAGACATGAAGAACAGTGGAATAGAATAGAGGACCTGGATACGAATCCACACAACTATACCCAACTTATTTTTGACAAAGGTGCTAAAAATAAATGATGGAGAAAAGACAGCCTCTTCAACAAAAGTTGTTGGGAAAACTGGTTAGCAGTCTGTCAAAAACTGAAACTAGATCCATGTTTATCACCCTGTACTAGTATTAAATCAAAATGGATAAAGGACCTTAATATCAGACTGGAAACTCTGAAGTTAGTACAGGAAAGAGCAGGAAATACTCTGGAAGTAATAGGTATAGGCAAGGACTTCCTCAATAGAACTTCAGCAGCCCAGTAACTAAGAGAAAGGGTGGACAAATGGGACTTCATAAAATTAAAAAGCTTCTGCACAACAAAAGAAATGGTCTCTAAACTGGAGAGACCACCCACAGAGTGGGAGAAAAAATTTGCCAGCTACACATCAGACAAAGGACTGGTAACCAGAATATACTGGGTTTTTTTGAGATAGGGTCTCACAAACTATTTTCCCCAACTGGCTTCAAACCTCTATCCTCCTGATCTCTGTCTCCTGAGTAGCTAGGATTACAGGCATGAGCCACCAGTGCTTGGCAAGAATTTCTTTAATGTAAACATTTTGCTATCAGTAATTTCAGAATATTTTCTGCTTTTCAACAAAACTACTTTCCAATCTCATTTTCAGCATTATCTCTACTTGTTTCTTTGCTATACTTTCATCTTTGTTGGCCCATTTCCCTTCCAATAATCCATTAAAATATATGATGGGGTCTATTACTGGTGAATAAGAAAACACATCTTCATGCTTTGCTGATTGTGAGTGGATTGAATGACAGATGTGTAGTGACTAATCAGTGTCAGACATGAGGTACATGTCTTGATTACATAGTGGTATGCAGACTGAAAAGTCAGCTGTAAAATATGCATTTTTCACAATTGAAATTTTTATACTGTTGACTCCAATATGAACATGGTATCTGAGATTAGTATTATTTAATTTAACAGTGATAACTAAAATTCTTGGATTTTAAAAACATGTAGTGTGAGTTGTCTATACAAAGTACTCAGTTTCCACTTGAAATCAGTATGCAATAAATGGTTTTTTAGAATTTGAATCTTACTTACATCTTATGCATTTTAGGATCCTGACCACATTAAAATTACTTTTTGAGTCTTTTTTTTATAAACCATGCTGGGAAATATTAACAATTATATAATATTTCCAAGTTCAAAAATATGACAAATTTACATTTTATAGTAGTACAATTTGTTTTTGAACTCAAGGCCTTGCGCTTACCACTGAAACCACACCCTCAGCCCTTTTTGCTTTGGTTATTTTTTAGAGAGAGTCTGACTTTTCTGACAGGGCTAGGATTGAACAAGATTCTTCTAACTCTGCTTCCCACACAGGTGGAATTATAAGTGTGAACCATAATGCCCTGCTTATTTTTTTAGATAGGGTCTTCCTAAATTTTTCCTGAGCTTGGCCTTGAGCTGAAATACTCTTATTTTCACCTCCCAAGTAGCTTAGATTATAGACATGAGCCATGTTGGTCAGCTGCAGTTTAAAAATTTTTAACAAACATTGTTTACAAAAAATGTTTTGCACATATTAACAAGATCCACCATTATTATTATTTCATAACTGATATAAGAATGTAGCATTTTCCACAGGGTCTTCTTATTTAACATAATAAAAAGCCAATATCTATCTATTCTTGTTCTATAATTAATGATTACATCTTATGTTACAATATTTGAAAGCTCAATTGTATGAGACCAGGAAAATTTCTCCTTCAATACGAATAGTTTAATATTTAGAAGAGTTAAGATTTTGAATATTGTGACCAATTCCTCTTTACTTCACAAACAGAACTAGTTTTGTTGATTTTAGTAAAACCCCTGAGCAATATAATAGTCTGTATCAGTATTTCAGCAAAAGAATTAGCCATTTTAATTTATTTTCTAAAATTTAAATAAAGCCTGAAGAAACTAGTCATTTCCACTTATGAACTTTACAAATGTCAGAAACGCAATAGAAAAATTATTGCAACTCAGTGGGAAACATTTAATCACTGGACTCGTGTGCATTCTTGGTTGTAGTAAAAGCTGAGGAGAAAAGTCCACATTGAATAAAGCAAGGGGTTCCTCAAGTAGGATGAAACCATTTACTCAAAATGAGGAACTCAGCATTCAGGCTTGTACCATTGAATTTCCTCCAAATTGCTAATCTCAGTCAAGAGCCATGGTAATTAATAAATTCAGTTGTAATAAGAACCTATATGTTATGGAAAAAATTACCTCTATTTTTTCTCAGTGAATGATATTTAAATAATAGTTATATGTTTACTTAAGACAATTGATAGTTAATTAGTAGTATCTGCTTATATAATTTGACTGAATTTTTCTTACTAATCTGTTTTCTCATTTATTTTGTCTCATTATGAAGGTTTACAAATTAACCAATTTTTCTAATGTTCCTAAAGAAAGAATATAATTTGAAATCAGTCAAATTTACTTTTGTAAGTGTACATGAAAAATTAATAGACTGTGAAATGTAAACATTTTAAAATGGATAGTTCATTAATTATGTATATCCTTTTGTTCATCTTCTCTACTTTGAATCAGAGCTTGATATTTGTAAATTAGTATGGAGTTAGTTAAGAAAAAAGTTCCACATACATGGTGGTGTATACCATGGATGATTAATGTAGTAGGCAATCCAAGAAGTGAATCCCCAATAAAAGGCACAACCCTAAACATAAAACAAAGCAAACCAAAAGTTATGGAAAACATAAAGATACATCATTTTTAAAAACCTCATACATTTGTATCAAGTACTGCAAAACATTAGTATAAAATTTGACATAAAGTGTCTAAACTGGATGCATGGAATTTTTCTTCACCTTAGCCAGCATTTACTCAGCTCCTTTTCTGATATCACTAAAGAAATCTGTCCCTTTGTTCCTCATTTATTAATACTAAAGGATTTTTGTACTTTAGGTACAATGTAATTTTTATATATTAAAATGATCAAGAAAGATTTTTATATGCATGAAATAATAAGTGATTTACTGCATAAGATGTTTTGACATCAAGTGAATAAAGTGATGAATCACTTAATCGTCAGTACCAGCACATGTTGATTAATTAGAAAAGAAAATAGACACATCTGCTATTCTGATATGATAAAATTTTTTGAAAGCATCTTAATGTTTATTTGAACACATAAACATAATTATATTGTAACTTTCTTCTTTCTCATCCCAACTACAGGTGGTTTAATACACTTTTGGGAAACTGTAAGACAGCTATTCACAAAATCTGGGAGAAATATTTGATAAGTGTTAAATAAGTGATCCTTTGAGTAACACTGCATGACATCCCATGACAAATGAGCTCATTTAATTCTGACAATAACCTCTGAGAAATGTGTGTATTATTTTCATCATAATTATGTTTGTATTACAAATGACAAAATAAAAATATGAAGAATTTAGGAGTATATATTATGAGGATAAAATGACAAAGTAAGTAAATAGCAAAGGCAGGATTTAATCCCAGGAACCTCTATTCTGATTTCTGTATTCTTTCTATTATATGTTTGGCTTTTCCAAACTTAGCACTACATGTGTTCAGCAAGTCTGTATTTAGTAGGAAGTGGGGAAATAGAAGATAAACTTTAATATCTTCTGTCAAAAGTGAAATGTGTCAACATAATTCTGAGGTTTTTTTCATCCTAGAATTTACAATTTTATTAAAAAAAGGATAATAGATTAGCTGTTTTTTTAAAAATATCCTTATAAACAAATATTTTCCAAATATGAAGACATTCTTTGAAGGACATCATTCATTAAAAGAAATTTTAAATTGAAATGTAAATTACATGAGTTTGAATTGAAAAATTGAAGTGTACCATATTGCTGTGAATATTTCCAATTCAATGCTTCAAAATTCTTCCAGTTTCCATGAGTTATTTGGTGGTTGAAAATTGATGAATTTACCTTTTCTTGAAGGGAAAAAAACACTGACAAAACATTGATCACTATTATAAATATGGGCTATAGTGTCTTAATTTTAACTACACAGAGATGAACATTTTAGGAGTATCTTTATGTGAGATTCCTTTTTTTCAGGTGGCACTTAAAAGATCTGACTTCAACATCAAAAATAAAATGTACATATTCCAAAGATTCCTAAGTGAGAAACATTGCTTGCAGTATTAACCTTGTAACATATGGTCATGACAAATTTTTCTTTACACATTAACTATGAGGGCAGATCAAATAAATAGATCATCCACAAATACGCAATATATGCACAAACCAAAAGATTAAAAAGAAAAAAGTCAGGGGAAAAAGACAATGAGATATTTTACTAATGATTCAAAATACAACATTTCTCAATAATATTTAAAAATACAAAGCAAATGCATCCCTACCATTATTAAATTTTTCAAAGGTGTATGTCCTGCAGAAACCTTGTGAACAAATAAAGTTTCCAAAAGTATTCGAATGTAGTGTATAGAATGGCAGAAGCAGGCCAAACTGAAAAGAAAAAGAAGAAAACAGTAAAAATATAAGCATTAAATTTCCCTTGAATCTTGGCTTGTCTTATTCATGACACTTTTTCATTTTTTTATTAATTTCCTACAATATTCTATTTGTTAGAAAATATTCTTTTGATTTTGCATATTATTTTCCATTTTTTATTGCTGTGCTGGTTGGGGTACATTGTGCCATTCACAAGAGTTCTTACAATATATTCAATATATCATACTTGAATTCACCCCCTCCACCATTCTCCTTTATCCGTTCCTGTAAGTCAGGCTGCAAGAAAGGCACCTGCACACCCATGTTTATTGCATCATTAGTAAATATTCTTTATGATAATCAAAAATAAGTTTTGATTTAAACATTTTATTCTAGGAACTTTCTAAATTCATTTGCTAATGAAAATAACTATTATGAATCTCTAAAATTACTTCTGATCATAGTTGAAATGTTTTAATATGAGGCACAAACTGTTATGCTCACACCTGCACCAGGAGTAGGTACAAATATTAACACTTCAAAAATTATCATACCAAAGTACCTCATGAATGAAGCAGATATGTTGCAAGTTTAAAATATCCAAAACCTACTTGGAATTTATTTCACATTTTGTAATACAATGAATAACTTTTTAATTTTCTAGTCCTTTAACATGCAGCAAAATTAAAAATGTTTGAGTTTAATTATCTTTGCAGTCATAATACAGCATTTGGGCTTTTTTATTTGTTTGGTTTCTTCCTACTTTACATACTGTAATATTTTGTCTCTGTGCCTTTGCTTTTGTTATAGTCTATCTAACATCTCTTGTCGTTCTTCTATGACAACTATTTTAAAAGTAATTGCTAAATGTGATTTACAGAAGCATATTTTTCAGGATATACTAAAATGATTCCATAAAGATCTATGCCAATTTTCTTATTAGCAAAAAAATTAAAATCTCAAAATATTTGGCTGTTCCTAAGAAAATCGGTATGGATCAATGATGATATAATTTACCCAATAAAGGTTAAGCATAAAAAAATCTTATATCATTTACTCTATGTAAAATCTGACATTAAATTTATCTATTAGACTTTTCACTTATTTTAAAAACTATGAATTAATGGTTTCTGGAATGAGTGATGTCAGGGAAAACAAAAAATAAACATTAGCTTGATAAACAGAATATTTTTTATTATTTTATGAAAATATGATTGATTGCCTATTATGTGAGATACACATTCTAAGCAATGTGTAGATTTTTAATTAACAGCAAACTCTGAAAAAGATGAAAGAAACCATATAGGTGGGGGTAGGGGAATCAACTGTCTAGGCAGCAAGACCAGCAAAAACTAATGTCCTGAGATGGTAGGCTGCCTTGTAAGTTGTAAGGATTGGTAAGGGAATAGAATCTTTCCTCACTTTTTGATTTCTTTGTAAAAGTGGTTGTAAATATGTTTGAGTAATAACATTGCCCATTTTGTAAAACAGCAGAAAATTTAAGGTAAGCCTAGTAGTGTGGCAGAGGCTGAAGTAAGAAATCTTGTTTCAAGCGATGCTATCTCTAAAGTATGTCACCAGTTTGTTTTATGTTATAACACAAGGACATAGAAAAACAGTATAGCATATGTATCTAGAGCCCTGGTTGTATGTATGCAACATTAAACACTATTTGTAATTCACTAAGCAAGTTTGATTTCATTCAAAATAATATAATTTTATTTAATTATGTTTGACCTTCTATGAAACACCAATTTTGTTTCTGTTCATTGCTAAACTAACTGTACATCAATTTGGATTAAATTATTTTTTCCAATCATAGTAATTGAAAATATCTCATCCTTTATCAAGTAAGTTTCAAGATATAAGGGCCAAGACAAAATGCACAGCTCTTCACCTTTATAGATCTGTAAGGAAGAAAATACACCAGGTTACCACTGAAAAGATGAAGGAAATGTTTAGATAAGAGATTGATGTTCAGAAAATACTTGATGGAAATGAGATTCGGCAGGAGCTATGCCCTTAGTACCAATGTAGAGGTTTCTAAGAGATTCAAAGTATATGCAAATCGGCGTCCTGGATGAGCTTAAAAAATAGTATGATTGAGTGCTAAGATTCAAGGCATTTTTAGAGGCAACATTTGAATATGTGTCCATTAGGTATGGCATTTGAAAATTGACCTTAATCCTGAGAAATGACATTATCCTGAAATTGGGGTGCCTTAGAGGCTTTGAGCTTATTTTCAAAATCTGTACTAAATACCCAATTTCAAAAGTAGTTTGTGTGTATCTTCTGGAAGATTATTCATATGAACTTCACATTTTTGCTGTTTCAGTACAATGTTGCATAAATAAATTTATCACTGAGGTGTTATTATACATGCTGTATTTGTGTGTAATAGTAACCGCTGTCAGCCAATTTCTTAGAGAATGCTGCTAGAAAGTGTTCTTTTTTCACACTGTGCTATATATCTTTTACATGTAACATATTTGCTCCAAAAAAAAAAAAACAATAGTGCTGTTATGTTCTGCTTTTGAGCTCTCCACCTCTCTCTTATTCTAAATGAATTGGTCAGTACTTTTCACTTAAGAGACAGAAGTTAAAATTATGAATTTTCCTAGATAAAACCATCATCTTCAAGGCAATTCCCCTTACTCTATATTCCTGGCTACACTGGCCTTCCTTGTGCCCTACAATTCACAAAACTGTTCTATAGATCATATCTGTATGATAATTCATCATATTCACTGACAAATCTGACCCATCTCTGGAGTAAGCAAAAGTTTTAATGTCACTTTCTTAGAAGCACTATCTTAGAACATGCATTCAGATCAGGTTGTCCTCTTTCGTCCTCTCAAAGCACATAGACAAAGTAAATATGTGTGTAACTAGTTCATTTTTCTAGTCATTCAAAATATCTTATTGAGAATCATCTGAATCAGATAATGTGTTAAACAGTGAAAGTAAAATGGACATCTTAGTACATCTATTGTAAATCTTAAACTATATTAACAGAAAGCAAAAACAAATGAGTAAGTGAAAATATAATTTTAAAATAATAAATTTTTAAGGGAAATTCATCTTTGTTATGTAAGTAGTAGGAATGGTTATTACGAGTTAAAAATATTGACCTTCTCTTTGAAGTTTGAATAATAGGAAAGAAAGAGAATGAGGAATGGGGGATGACATGTAAATGACCTAGTATGATAAGAACATGGTGAACCATGAGGACAAGAAAGGCAGATAGTGTGATTGGTACACAGTGATTGAACATAAGGGAAAGACTAATTTGAAATGATAATGTCTGAATGAAATTTGCTCTGTATGTTTTAGTATCATATGACCTAAATATTAATATTTGGCTTCTTTATTCACTTGGGATATTTTAATGCATGGAATCTGCTGGTTCTTTTCTTTTAAAAAATATCCACCTGTATATCTAAATGTGACAGTTGGCATGCCTTTGTGAAAGGCACAGAGTGAGAGAGAGAGAGAGACAGAGACAGAGAAGAAGAGAAAGAAGAAGAGAGGAAGGAAGAGGAGAAGGGAGAAAACCAAAGGAGGAAGAAGAGACAGACAAAGAGACAGAGATACTGTCTCCACTGTATGTCAACTACCATAGCTATATAGTTATATAGCTGCCCTATTTTGTGAGATATTCTGTCACTTCAAAGTGCTTTTAGTTTTGAATTTTGAATTTTAAAAGTAACCAATAAACTTTTATTTTCCTAGTGGGTCATTATTTCTCTCTTATGCAACATTGTGAATGTTGTATAGACAAGTATTTATAATTTACACCCTATACTTGTCCTCTCAGGTTCACTCTTTCAAGCTTCTTTTCTAACTTTTTTTATTGCTGTGCTGGGTAGGGGTACATTGTTGCATTTGCAAAAGTTCTTAAATATATCATATTTGAATTCACTCCCTCCACCATTCTCGTTTATTACTCACTCCCCTCATTCCTGGAATAGTTTCATAAGGTATCCCTTTTTCCATTTGTATACATGTGTACACAGTATTTGCACTATATTCACCTTCCCACACCCTTTCCCCCCAACCTCTCTCTTCCCAATGGTACCAAACCCCACCCCTACAGACAGATCTGTTCTGCCCTCTTGTTTTTCAATTTTGAAAAAGAAAAAAAATGACATTTTTGTTTGTTTAAGATAGCTACACAGGGAATTCCCTTGTAACTTTTCCATATATATATATACGTGTGTGTGTGTATTATACCACAAATTGGTTTCTTTTAATGATTTCTAAATTTCTTTTGATGATTTCTAAATTTTCTGATGAAATCTAAATTTCCTAATCTGTCTTCTTGATCTTCAAGATCATTTTGACTTAAGTTACCCCTATTTGAGGTATACTTAATAGATTTGTGTTTATAAAAGAACAATCTAGTTAGTATACAATATTTATAGATACTTTAACTAAATCTTACAATTTATTCTACTTTAATTGTGCTTACAAACCACCTTTTGAACAATATCTGCTTACTACAAAATGCACTGAACTTAAGATGGTTTCATGTAGGATTTTTCAACTTCACTATGTATGAAAGCCATATTTATTTACTAAAAAATTACTTTGAATTATGAACTTTTATTCTCAGGCTAGTAATTAGTGAGATGATATTCTGTGCTGATGGTGGGCAACAGCAGCAAGTCTCAGACATGTGATTGTGGGGGTGAACCACTGATGTACTGATCCACTGAGGTACTGATATAACATCACTGATGTGGTGTTACTAAGCTATGATGCTCTTCTCTGAAAAAAACACTTAGTAAGTGCATTTTAACTTATGAAATTACCATTTTACTGTGGGTTTATTGGGACCTAACCACATTATAATTGAGGAGCATCTCTAGTCCATTTTCTGTATCAGCTGTGTGTATTGTATGTATCACTTACTGTACCACAGGGTGGCGTAATCTTCTAGAACTCTCTTTCACATCATATATACATGAGATTCGTAGATAGAAAAGGAGGTATATTAGCAAAGGTCCTGTGTATTCAGCCAAAAATACCTGAAAATAAGAAGGCAATTTAGATTAAACAGTAAGGTTAGAGTAGTCTTCAATGTTTACTTATGTTCAGGAATGCAGCTATTGTGTGAATTGGTAAAATGGACAAGCGGATATAGATTCTTCTAAAACAATTGATGTAAATCCCAATACAAATAAATCCTCCTTGGAATAACCAGCCAAGAGTTAATGAGAATGAACAACATATAAATAGTTACCTTAAAATAATAATAGTTTTGAACCTAGTAACATATTTTATTAGTAGAATTTATTTGGCTGAACAAATAATGTTAGATTTTTTTATTTCTATATCTAATATACAATTAGTATCTATACAAACTAACCCTGTAACTGAATCTTTTCTTTCGTCTTTTAAATTTCAAGTCCTGCCATCTTGAACTCAATTGATTTGATGCTGATTCAATTATATATTTTATAGATAGTTAGATAGATAATGTTAGTGTAGCTAAGAGTGTCGACTTCTGAGTGGTAGAACCAATATAAACATAAGTATGGGAAGAAATTCCTGATCTACAAAGAGACATCAACAATAGTTGGAATATAAAATTGGAAATAAGATCATGAGATTCTAGAAAGATTAACTGACTCACTGATTTTATGGCAGCCTTTGGAATCTAGTAACTGCCCATTACTTAGATTGGTTTTCATGCTGTTGCCAGGTCAAAGTCACTCTGGACTATTCAGAGAAGGAAAAATAATTTATTTCTGTGCATTCAAGAAGAAGAGAAAGGAAAAAAACTTTCCATAATTATGATTTGAAGATTTGAATCTGCCCATGTTTTGCTCAAACATGTAGCTGTGCACATTAGAATCATGTTCTACAACCAGGTGAGAATTGCTGCAGTTGTACAATTTGACTATATGATATGTATGAGTGGTTTTATACATATTCTCACAGGATAGGCATTATGGCACAAATCTATCCTTTTAGCACTTTTAGGCTCAGACAGATGGATCATGAGTTTGAAGGCAAGCTGTATTATAGAATATATTATATAATGAGTTCCAGGCTATCTTGGATTACACAGTGAGGTCCTGTGTCGTATAAAGAGTATGTGTGTATGCGTGTACATGCTTCCATATGCTTATAAACATATATTATGCATAATAAAGGCTTAAATATTAAATATATACAACATAAATATCTACTACACTCATATAGGCTTTTTCACTTTCATTTCTTTCTTTTACCACTGTATGTTTCACAAGCCAAGATTCGAAAAGGTGAAACAGCACACCCATACAGATCAAGTCATTGTAAACACAACCTCATTCAAAAGTCTACATTAATTTGTTGCTCTGGGCATACCTGATTATTGAGATATCAGGAGAATTTTTATCACTGTTTCTGTCTACTGATAGGGTCTAGTCAACAGATGAAATAGATGAGGATGGTTATTATTGCACTTACTTCAACTCCATTTTATCTAAAAACATAAAATTTGAGCGCATTCTATAGGAATGAATCAGAAATTAACAATGTTACAAATAACAGTTAACCTGGACCAAATGTCACTACTTATTATGTTGTTAAAATCCTATCAGTTACATGAAATTCCTTTGGTTCAGAAAAAATTAAACTATATTTTTATTTTTTATCATCACTTAAAAATAATTCAGGAAAAATTATTGGGTACATAAATATATTTTATGAGCCCTGATACTTTATCAGAAATATTGCTCAAGCCAAGACATAAAAGTTAAAACAGTACCACAATAAGAAGCGCTAGAAAATGAAAATAACTTTTGAACAGTGCATCTTTCAAAAAATTCATTTAGATGTAAATATAAGCAAGGATAAAAGATGTTTTATAAAATTTTTAAAAAATCAAAAATAGATTTAATATAAGAAACAAGGTCTATATAGACAAATATTAATATTATAGCTTAAATAGAAGAATGGAATTTCTCTTTTATTAAAAAGAAAATAGCCAAGACCAAATAAAAACAAGAAAACATGCATGAATATATGATTCAAGCAAATCATAAAAACTTACAAAGAATAAAAAATCCATTATAATCCAAAAGTAGAAATTCTATATCACAATAAGCAGCTATGACTTTATGTTTGGTGATAAAACTACACTTATATTCCAATTCATTTCATTTATCAGATTTTATTAATGTTTCTTTTATCTACAATATTCTGTGTATTAAAACAATGCTTTACCTCTAATGAAAATTCATTACTTCTATCTGGCAAGCAAAGGTCCTACACTGATCCCTTGGTGTCTGTGGGGCATTGGTTCCAGGAACTTGTGGACATCAAAATCCACTAGGATCAGGTACCTTATGTTAAATGGCATAGTATTTGCATATAACCTACACATATTCATCTGTATATTTTAAATCATGTTTATATGTCTTATGTTACTGAATATGATCTAAATACTATGTAGCTACTTGTTATGCTCTGTTCTTTTAAAAATGTCAAGAAAGAGAGATCTGCTTGACTAGCATTGGCATAACCATTGTAGCCTAACTTTGCATTATATCATGGTAAGTTGAATCTGTGGATACTGTGCACACAGAGATGGAAGGCCAATTCTATGTTTAAATTAAGGAGAGAAGGCAATAACATGTTTCAATAAATGGAAATTAAAACTTGAGACTGAATTGTGAATTGGTTAGGATTTATATACTTAAAATTTGCTCATTGTACTTCATCCCATTATCTTACCCTCGGTGGGGGAGTCTTTAGTGCTACCATTATTACAGTATTGATGGATTTATTTCTTTTCCAAAACTACAATGACCTTAGAAACCAAAAAAATTTACATATTCCAGAGCTGTTACTACTTAACAGCAAAAGCAAAATAATTCCAAACTTCATGTACTCAAGAATGGAGAGCTGTAAATAAAACTATGAGATCATTGCCTACTTCCCAATAGTAACATCTCTTTGCATTAATGAAATATTGTTGAAATCATGTTAATTGAAATTTGTTTTTATTTCAAATGTTTTAGCTTCATTTTTACTGCAAAAAATTATGTATTTAATTATGATATTTTGACAAATGTACACAATACTCTTATCTATGTCTACCTTCAAGTCCCTTCCTTGTCCCCTTTCCATACTCCCAGTCCTTCTGCCACCAAATCATCCCCGATTTAGGTTCATGTATTTTTGTTTGTTTGTTTGTATTTATGGAAATAAATTTCTCATATGAGAGAAACATGTTATACTTATGCTTCTGAGTCTAGCTTATTTCACTAAACATATATTGATCTCCAGTTCCATACATTTTCTTGCAAATGGCATGATTTCATTCTTCTTTATGGCTAATTCATGTATCAATTGATTTGTTTTATCTACTGATTGATAGACATCTAGTGTGATTCATAACTTGGCTATAATGAATTGTGCAACAATAAACATGGGTTTTAGGTATCTCTTCTGTATGTTGACTTACATTCCTTCATGTGTAGTAGACTCTTGGTATCAGTGGGTTCCTAGGTGACTGCCATTGAGGAAAAACTGCAAATGTCCAAGATGCATAGAATGCAGTACTGTACTGTGGATGCTTGATTGATTATTTTCCTCCAGTGTCACTCAAATTCTGCTAAAGACATGTTTCCTTTCAGGAAATATACATTTTTTACTTTGTCACTTAAATTGAGCATAGTAAATTATTCTTGTTCTTTGGGCACCATTTTTTGAGTCATATTTTCATAAAATTAAGGGCAGGAAAACATTAATCAGATCATTCAGTGATTTAAACACAACTAACAATAATGTAGTACTGACTGAGCACTGAGCTACATAATATGTGCAGAAATTTAAAATTTTTGTTTTGGAAAATATCTTTTTCAGTTTTGGCTTTGGTTGCTAAAACTGTGTGTAATAAATAAACAAACTATAGAACTCAGGGGAGGAAGGAAAGAAAAGGAAAATGATAGTCAACAATATTGAAATTCATTGCATCTGCACAGTCACAGGACATGAGATATGCTGAAAGCTGTTGAATAATGCAGAATAGGAGGGAAAGGATAAGGGAGAGTATAAGAGGAGGTTTCACTGACCAAAGTAAAATTTGTTTACAGCTAGGATATATCTGGAAATCCTTTTGAACTGACATTGAAAGTAAAAGTGAAAGCTAGGACTGTGAAATAGGTACCAAAGGGGAGAACTTGTGGAAGGGAGAGGATGAATGGAGGAGATGAAGGTGATGGAATATGGTTGATGGGATCAGTACACATATATGAAATAGAATGATGAAACCTCTTGATGCTATTTTAAGTGGGGTGAGGAGAGGTTTGGGGGGAGGGAAATGGTGAGGGCTATCTAACCAATATTCAATGTAAGGCTATTCAGAATGGTCACAATGCATCCTCTCCTGTACAATGAATATATGCTAATGAAAATGAAAAATAATTTACAAAAAAGTAACAGTAAATGAAAAAATAATTAAAAAAGAGAAATAAAGTGAGAAAAAAATCTACAAATAAGGCTGTCTTACTGGATATGCACAGGAGTAGAACAGCACAGTATATAGTAATGGTAACAAGAAACAGCAACCCAAAGCATGTCTGCTACATAAATGTAATACAAAAATAATAACAATTAGAAGCATCAACTTCACCCTAACTCACTTACAAAAAGAGAAGAACTAGGACAATTTTAAGATATGCTAGGAGTTTAGAAGTTATTACATCTGTAGATATTAATTAATAGGTACTGAAAAGGAAGCAGCAATGAGGAAGGAAATAAAAGAACAAGAAAAATAGAAAAGAGAGGAAAAGACTATGTTGTGGACATATAGGGAATGTTAGAATAATGGTAAGAGAGACCAGGATAAAATAAGTTCAGCAAAAGACAAAACAAACAAACAAAAAAAGAACAAAATAACTACAACAAATATGAAAAATACAAATAAAATAAGATAAACACCAGTCAATACTTCTTGCTTGCTGAGAAAAGAAGGATGAATTTCCACTTGCCTATCCTAGGATTGACTTCTCAGTTTTCTTTGGTGGGAGCAGATTTTTTATTTGTCTGCTTTTATTTTCCTCAATGAACTTGTAAGAAGTTGGAGTGGTGATATCTATTTACAAGTTGTGTCTTGATCTGCCTTCTCTTGGGGAGTTCAATTCAAGATTGTGTGTACCTCTAAGCAGGTCTAGTAAAATACAAGCAATGAAGATTTCAGAGAACTATTGAGTCTCTGAAAAATTAGATGAAATTTTTTGAAAAAAGTCTTTGGAGAACTAATTGAACCTAAAATTTGAAGCCTGATGAGAGCGTTGAAAAGCAATAATAACAGCTACATGAAAATCTCCAGATGTTTTGACCATGCGTGGGAATGAAAATAAAATCTGTTGTTCGCTATCACTCAGGGAAATACATGGCCTTATTAACAGTTTTCACATGCACTGAAACTCAGCTTGAAATGTTTTCAGTCACTGATTGGGTCAAGATGACGGCTTCTACCCTGAAATGGGGAGATAAACATGTAACTAAATGTAAAAACAATAACATAAAAAAAAAGCACATATTGAGTCCAAAACTCAATTGTATGCCCCAGATAGTTGGAAAATTATTTGCATAGATACATGTACATGGATGCTTATAGCACCTTCACTCATATAGCATATGACTGAAAGTACCCAACTATTTTTCAAAGGGTAAATGGTCAAATGAACTCAATTACTTCCATGTAGCCAAATATTGCTTACCAATGCAATGGAGCCAAGTATTGATAGATGCAATAACCAGGGTAGATCTCAAGAGTACAACACTTAAAGAAAAACAAATGTCAGCTTCAAAATAGTATTTGACTTCACTTATAAAACACTCTCCACGTGAAAAATTACGGAGAAGAAAAACAGATTAGTGGTTGTCCTATATGTAAGAGTAACTTGACAGAATTCCTTTTAAGGTAAAAAACATTTCTTTATCTTGTTTTGATGGTAGATGCATGAATTTGTGCTAGAGATAAATTGCTATGAGCTACACACACACACACACACACACACACATACACACACAGGAAAAATATGGAATTGGTAAAAATTAAGATATTTCATTAGTAATATTTCTATAATGAGAATTATTCATTATTATACTAACTGTTCATTCAACTCTTTTAATACAACAGAAATTTCTTTCAATATTTTGTGACACTCTTCCTTGGTAAAAATATTATTCAAATCTTAATTTTGACTTTATTAAAATAAATGGATTTCAAAAAAAAAACTTTAAAATGCTTTATTATAAGAATATATTTTAATATTTTGCAAATGTATAAGAATGTTATACATGGAGAAAAATTGATTTTGGTGTATAATTGAGTTGATATAAAGTGGCTGCGAGTGTAATGTATTTATTTTTAGCAATTAATAGAACTGACTCATTTGGAGCAAAAGAATGCATGACGCACTGGGATGATTTAAAAATATCCAGCCTATTTCCAGAGTTCTCTTTGTCACTTAGATGACTTTCTTCTCAAGGTGTAATTTTCTAGTACAGTTCTCATACAATTCCACTTTAGTGCTTTTTCCTTTCAGTGCTTATCCAAATGATGCAGCTGGAAATTTCTAATGAACTCATGGCTAGCGCTGCTCACTCTGACAAAACTTCTACAAACAGAATTCTCTTTTCATCATAAATGTGTTCATTTTAACCTTTACAGATCCAATCTGCATATATAAATTCTCTTTAAGCAGAGATATGTACATGTCACGTGTAAATATTAAAAGCTTTGTTTATCAATGGTTTTTTTCTAAACACTCTATTTCATAAGAACTCAAAAGATTCTAAACTTGGTTTTTAGTGCAACAAATTAGTACTCAGAAAACAGAAGATAGTAAAGTTAATTATCCACCTTTATTGTATTTAGATTATGTAGTATTATGATACAAAAAAGCATTAAATGTTTCAAAATTCACTGAGTTTTATTCAACTGAAACTAATAAATAAAGATGTAAAGAAAATGTAAACCTTAGAGGAAATTTGTTTAGGTGGAGTTTGAATCTAAAATAAAAAAATGATGGTTTGAATGTGAAAAAAAAAAGAAAACAGAAGATATTTTTTAAACTAAAATTTTTTTAGCAATAAATAAACCTCACAAAAATAGAACCCATAATCTAAATACAAGAAAAAAATATACCTCAGAAGGCAATATTTTAATAAATAAATGCAAATTTAAATTTGTACTTTAGACAATAAAATAGCAATACATGAACTAACCTGCATTTATAATATTTTTTAAATTTGAGTTTTTACAGAGGAAAGTTCAAAGCACTATGAATGATAACGTTAGTTTTTAATGTTGGTAAAATCAAACACATTTTGATAGAAAATATTAAAAGCAGTCATATTACAAATACAGCATGGAACATAATAAGAAGCAAAAACTTTCAAAACTTAAATAAAATACATAAAAGAGTGTTCTTTGTGAAACAAATTAATTGAAAAATACAGTGCACTATTTTTTATATTAGTGTCAAAATTATTAATCAAATAGACCCTTTTAATGCCACTGGCTCTTTACTAAAAATACTGTATTATTTCTTCTTGCTGCTGAACTTTTTCATTGATTTATTTCATCACTTATGATTAGTTCAATGTTTGTGATCTAGTCACAGGTTTTTAAAATGATTCTAAGCCCTTCATTCCTTCAGTGTAATACTTCTTCTTCTCATTGAATTCAGTTGTGTCCAGTTTGAATACTCCTATTATCCTCCCAGGAGAGTCAAAGAAGACCCCCATAATCTGAAAGAGGTCTTACTTACAAAGTGTCATCCTTTACTCTTAGAATCTCCTTTCCCACAGTATTCTATCTCTCCTTATCCCTGTCAAGAGGGTCTTTGATATCCTTAGACTTCTTGCAAGTAACAGTAAAGAGATACCCTTCTACAACAAGGAATAGGGGAAGCAGAGAGGGAGCCGGGGCATAAGGTGAGTTGACATTAAAAAAAATGAATTTGTTTCTTTTAATCAACCATGGATTTTCAATGCTCCAATTTTGAATAGAGCTTCAGTCATTGAGCACATTTAAGAATATTAAAATTAAAAATGCCATTCTATACAATATTTTGTTTCAATGTGAATTCATTTGATAGAAATAGTTTATCAATAAATTAAAGTAAAATATGGTACATGTATATTGCATTTCAAGTTGACACTTACTGTAGTCCAACTGACTTGTCGACCTAAGTCTGTAAAGTAGAGTGTGACAATGGAAGAAGCTGCAACACTTTGAATAGTGATGTAGTCTTTCAAAAAAGGTCCACCTAAAACAAAAATACCAAGAAAATACTATTTAAAGCAGTTTCAAAGTAATATGATAAACAATTTCTTAAACCAATGAATACTAAGGATTAACTTTATATGGATTTTACAATGTACAACAATTTTCAAATTAAAATCAAATGGGAACAAGGTTGTTTTTTTAAAAACATATTTAGCAACTTTTGAAATGCACACAAATTTCCCAATTCTAATTGAACACAGATTACCATTGACTACCATTCAAACATACATGAGAAAATTTAATATTAGGACCTAATCATATAAGAAACAGGATTTGTTTTGCAGATAGGTTCTCATTGTGTTGTGACCTCAAATCTGTGATCCTACTGCCTAAGTCTCCCAAGTGCTGGAATTACTGTTGTGTGCCACTATATCCTGCACACAATATTTTAAAAGTGTAATTTCAGGTGCTAATAGACCTAAAACTCAATTATTACTTAAATGACACGATTTACCTTTTCAAAAGATTAATGAATGCTGGATAAAAAATGAGAAGGGAAGCAAAGGAAATTATTTTGGAGACACTGAAATTGATCAAGCAGGAAATGGTGATCATGCAGTTTAAGGAGCAGCTGGTGGAAATGTTGATAATTTACTCATTCTAAATATGTTTTGAGCACAGTACAACTCAGTGGTTGATTGGTAGAGAGGAATGGACTCAGTGAGATACAGAAAGTGCTTAGACTATTGGCCTTAATGCTTAACTATATTCTGGTATTATTAACTGAAATGATCCCTGTATTTCTGACTATGATAGGTTATCATTTTGTTCATTAAGGTGTGTTTCATGACTTTAAAAAAATAAATGAACCAAGTGAACCTGATCTGATATTGTGTGCTTTAAAAAAAAATCTATGCATAGAGGTGAGAAAGAGAAGAATTAGCAGATTCATTTGTTGGCTTGAAGATAAAGAAGGCCACATATCAGGATATAGGTGGTTTCACAAAACAGAACAGCCTCTAGAAACTGATATTAGTACGGAAAGTGATGTCTGTCATAAACTTAAAAAAAAAACAAGACATAAGCAAAAACAGAAGCTTAAAAAAACTACACACTTTCCCAACAGTGTGAATGAAGAGGGAGGGGTTAAACTCGAGGTCTTCAGATAAGAATTCTGCTCAGCCAACACCTTAACTCCAGCCTTACCATATCCTAAGCAGAGTCTCCAACCATTAAGTCTATTCAATCTAGTAAATGGGACTCAGTTCTAAACCGCTAAGTTTTTTAAACCTGTTACACAGATTTAATACAATATGGGTCAAGGCAAACAGGTTGATATCCAAATGGTCAATAATATTATAACAATCATGTGTAAGAAAAAACAAAATGTTAATAAAGTAAAAAAATTCTGACATCTTTTTGTTCTTCATAATATATAATTTTATTTAGTTATTGATTTTTTATTGTTTTGCTGAGTGGGGGTACATTGTGGCAATTACAAAAGTTCTTACAACATATCAAATATATCATATTCGAATTCACCTTCTTCATCTCTCTCCTGTATCCTCCCGATCCCCCTATTCCTAGAATAGTTTCAACAGTTTGTACATCATGAAGGTATGTTGAAACTACCTTTTTCACACACATTTATTTCACCCTTGGAGAATAGAGAAGTTTCTACCTCTCTGCCATCCTTGCCAAACTCAAGCATTGGCATTTTTTAATGTAATCACAGCTACATGACATTTTTTTTAAAAAGTTACAACACAAATGTTATCATCAATCACACCACCCATTGACTCAGGAATCGGCACCCTTGTTATATGTCTCCCATAAATATTTTCTTTTCCCAGAGGAGAGAAAAATGTTTCTTTTTCTAGATCACATTCCAGCCAGTTAAGGGCCTCAAAATTCCTGCTGAAATTAGTCCAAGCATTATTTTGTCTTTGGATATTTCCTCCCAAGATTGGGATGGACCAACACTGGGCTGCATACCCCTAAACTCAGCTTGTCAAGGTTGTCGTATGAAGGTTGTGGATAAAGCTTTTATGTATTCTTTGGAGCCAGTGATAAAAAGACAGAAAAGACACTTCAGCTAATGCTTCACATGTTTAGTGTGGCAGCCCAATAACTTTATGAATTAGAAATTCAGCACAGTCATTCGAGGTAATTATGAGGTGTTTAAATAAGGTAAGGTAGAAAGAAATGTATTTTACTTACCAATTCTTGTAACAGATATGTTATAACAATGGCTGAAATTCTTAATTATTTCTGTACCTATTTCGTTAACAGTAAGGCTGAAGTTCCTTATATGACAGTTGGCATTTACTTTCCTACTTTTGAATATATCTCATAACTTCAGTTGACTGAAAGAGTGTAGGGCAAGTGATCATTGGTCATTTCACAGCTTAGTCTAAAGAATTAATGGGTTCTTTATTCATTCTTTATAACCATGCTTCAATTATGTGAACAAGCCCAGCCTGTTCTACTAAATGATGACCGATCACATAACACAAAGAGGAGTTCCTTCTGTTGTGTCCATGCTAGATTATTCTCTAAAAACTGAAAGTGGCTTCTTGAATGAATCTTGCCAAGTTTATTCAAGTTCAATACAGTTTAGAACAACTGAGTTAAATAAGTGTTTACCATTTTACCCATAAAAACCAAGGGAATGCTTGCTATTTCATTGATAGTTTAACTATGTCTGTGGTGTGAGAAAATTTTGTAAAACTGTAATTTCACATGAGGTCATTGTTTTGTTGTTAAGTAATTAAACTGGTAAATAAATTCAGGCAGCAAACATATGTAATTATTCTGATTCTGCTTTGTTTTGGTATTACCTTAATTCCCTTTAGAGAAATAATTATAGCTATAATTGATGAAACAGATAGCATATGCCAATCATATATGTTTTATAAACATAATCTGATTTAGCACTTAAAATGATTTAAGTTCCTTATTAACTATACCTTAAAAAAGAAGACCTTTAAACAGTCAAGTAAAAATTATGAGTTAATTTGAATAATCTTTTCTTTTCACTGTAATCTGTTTCTTGAAGTAAATTAATTGACTCTTTTTCCAAATACATTATCACATTCCTACTCAAGTACATATCAAACACCTGAACTTTGCTCAGCCCACATCCTGGTGCACTTTACCAGATAAATAAGTGCAAGGAAAAGTAAAATGTCCTATTCACCAGAAAAGTTGAGCTCAAAGAAATTTCTTAGTACCTTACAATTTTCGTTAGATTGAATTGCATTTGATATTGATGCCCATGGCATTATTTGAATCTTCTATATATTACAGTCAAGTTCAGAAAACAATATTGCTATTCATTTCGTATAACTACTAGACTCTGTGTAGACAAAAATAAATAAGACAGTAATTTTCCTCCCTTAAAGTCTATTCACGCAGAAATTTGATTTGAATATCTGAGCAAGAAAGATTTTGAATCTTTCAAAAGTATGATTCTGATAATGCTGTGGATTCCTATATTTTCTATATATAGTCCTCAGAGAAAGATACAGTATTTAAAAAAGCAGTGATAACAACTTTGACACATTAAAGAAAATCAGCGTTTGTCATTAAATAGCAAAGGTAATAAAAAATCAGTTTCTTATTCAATGAAAAAAAATTAGAGATTGTGATTCCATATCAAGTCCCTTGGTATCTTTACTACTAAAACTTTGAGTAAGTAACACATCATTTTACAAAAAATGTATATTCTACCCACAATATCTATTAAAATTAGAAGCACCAAATTCAACTTCCAATTGATGCTATGTGAATAATGATGCTTCTCAAGCATGACCCATTTTTTAAGTGTATCTATTGAACTTTCTGAGAGATGAGGGTTTGAAATTCTGATAAATTTGAGGATCAGTAGTAGATATAATAGTTTTATTTGAAGTTCATTAGTTTTTGCTCTTCCTTGCCTTTTTTACTTATGCTTTATGACAGATGAAAGAAAAGAGAAAAAAAATGATCATTAGGCATTATTCTGTAAAATGAGAGTAATATAGTAATTAAAATCTTGGAGACAGAAAAATGTTAGTTTAGAAACTACCTCTGATGCTCAGAGACAGTGAATATGTGAAAACAACTCCTGAGAATAAAATTCTTTATCTATGAAGTCGAGAATTAATTTGTTGGGAGATAATATTTCTATTTATGAACTAAGTGATAATCATTTGCTAAAAAGGAATGATGAATTAAATATGGGTAAGTAAACATTGATACTTACCACATTCTATCTGCAGGCCAACTTGGGATGGGTACCATTTTGGACCTGTTTAACGAAAAAATAACATTTGATTATCACAAAAGCATAAAAATCTTTTAAATCTAATAGTTCTCATCAGAAAAAAGATTAGATATTACTAAGTCAATAAAATGATTACTCAATATAAAATCAGAAATAGTGGTTATATTTTGCAGGGTGCTCATCAGTATTAGTAGATGGTGAGTACAAGAAATCAAGAAAGCTGCAAAAGACAGTACTTACATCAAGTGGAAAATGCAAACAAACCATTTCTAATCTCTTTTCAGCAAGAACAAAATAATGACTGGAGTATTATTTCTTTTCCTCTTTTTTTTTTTTTTTTGCTTGTTATGCCTTTCTCTGTACTTATTTTATTTGGTTCTCTCTCACAATTATTATTTCTCATTCCTTAATTCCATATGCTTTTCTTGATTTTTAAATCATTCTTCTCTTTTTTTCAGTAAGACTTCTTTTCATGACTTCTTTTTGTGAATTAACTAATACCTTTAATTCTAATACCTTTTAAACTACTGCTTTAAATTATAAGTATCCTTTTTCCTTTGCTTTCTAAACTTAGTCTGCATGCAGTAGATATTTTCAATTGGATTTTAAGTTTATTAAAAATCTGGCTTGGTTTTGAATTGTTTATATTGTTGATTTTTGATCTCTCTTCTCTGAATGGTAGTAGAGAGTGTGATCTTTCAATAAAAATCTGACCACTAAAAATCACCTATAAAAAAAAACCTGAGAGATAGGCATTCCCAACAAATGTGCAAACTGGAATGAAAGAATACAAGAAATGTGGATAACAAGGAAAGATCACTTTTCCTAAAATTTACAACTCTTCAATTCTGAATTTAAAGATACTAAAATAGTTAAAACAGCAGAAGAAGAATTCAAAGTCTAAACTTAGAAAAGATCCATGATTTCAAAGAGGATTCAAACAACTGAATGCAGTAAGGAAGTCAGCTCAACACCTGAACAATAAAGTCAGCAATGTGGCTTAGAAATTGAGCAAGGAAATTGAGATTATGGAAGAAAAAAAAACACAGAAAGGTTGGAAATTTAAAAAAAACTTCAATGAATATAATAAAAATCACTGTAAGAATCACCAACAGACTAGAAGAAGTAAGAATATCAAGTATTGACAATAAGGAAGAGGATGTATTACATTAAGGAAATAGTAATGAAGTAGAAAGCATGAAAAAATTTAGAACACTGAGACATGATTAAGAGAACAAAGCTATGAATCCACAGAATAACAGAAGTCTCTGAGATACAAACAGAAGTTATAGAAAAGCTATTCAAAGAAATTAGAGCAGAAAATTTATAAAATCAAGGAAAAGATACAGTAATTGTCTGTAACTTCAGTACCCAGATTTCATCAATAGATAAACTATCCACATGGAAACATAAATGAAAGAACTTCTGAGTTAAATTAAATCATAGATAAGATGTACTTAGCAGATATCTACTGAAAATTCTATCCAATAGATATAGAATACACATCGTAGGTAAATGGATGAAACTGGAGAGAATCATCTTAACTGAAGTTAGTTAGGTTCGAAGGCAAAAAATCACATTTTCTCTCAGATGTAGAATATAGACCTAATACAATACAGCAATATTATGAAAAACAAGTCATTTTAAGGGGAAGTCACATATGAGAAGGGAGGGTAAAAGATAGAATGAAGAAAGTGAATATTGTTGATGTACCTTCTATTCAAGAATGAATATAAAATTTTTCAACCTGTTGAAACCATAAGAAGGAGACTAAGGCAGAAAGAAGATGAACTAATTCTAGTTATAGTACATATATACTTGCAAATGTCACAAGGAAACTCCCTGTGTAGCTACATTAATCAAAGAAAAATGTCATTTTTTTTCTTTTAAAAAATTGGAAAGCAGGAAGGCAGAACAGCTCCTGCCTGGGGGGATTGCTATCAATGGAAAAGGGGAGGAGGTGACAAAAGGGTATACAAGAGTGAGTATTGTGAAAATACTGTGGAAACATCTATGTAAATAGAAAAAGCATATCTTTTGATACTATTCTTGGAATGGTGGGGAGAGAGGAATAAATGAGATTTATGAAGAGGGTGAATTCAAGCATGATATATTTGATATATTTTAATAACTTTTTTAAGTGCCACAATGTACACCCACCCAGCACAACAATAAAAATAAAATCAAAATGAAAAAGAAGCTATTGGGATTTCTCAAAAATATATCACATTTTAGGCTATAAAACAAGTCCTAAAAAAGCAAACATATTGAGAAAATTTCTTGTATGTTTTCTGATCATAATCAAATAAAATTAGAAATCAATAGCAAGAGAAACAAAAGAAACTCAACAAATGCATAAAGATTAAATAATACAGAATTTGATAATCAGTGAGGAAAATTTTTTAAATGTCTGAGATTCACATGAAAGTAACAACACATCTTGGCAGAAGTTTGAGATACAGCACACAGACAGTTCTAAAAGGGAGGTTTACAGATATGAATGCCTACTTTACAAAAACAAGGAGAAGACATGTGTGGTTATCCATTCTTGCAATCACAGCTTCTCAGGAGGTAGTACAGTTGGGCTAAGAATTTGAAGCCATGCAATGCAGAGTTATCAAGGCCTTGCTTCATAACAAAATAAAAGCAAAAGGGCTGAGGTATGTGGCTCGAGTGGTGGAGCACTTGTCATGAAAGCAATAACAAAAAATATTACAGATATCTCAAATAAATAGATGAATGATATATCTCAAGGACTTAGGAAAATAAGAACAAGCCAAGCTGAAAATTAATTGACGGAAAGAAGCAATAAACATCAGGGTGGAAATTAATGAAGTGATGACTAACAAAACAATACAAAAAATAAATGAAACACAGAAATGATTGTTTGAAAATATAAACAAGATTGAGAAACCATAGAGAAACTCACCAAAAGAGACAATGCAAATTAATAAAATTAGAGATGATAAAGTAGATATTATAATAGATATCAATGAAATCCAGAGTATGATTAGAAAATATTTTAGAACATATTCCAATAAATTGGAAAATCTAGAAAAAATAGTAAATCTGTAGACACATATGAAATTGAACCAAAATTGAACCAAGAGGATAGAAATGACCTAAAAAGATCTATAAAAAGTAATGAGATTGAAGTCTAGACCAGTCAGATTCACTGTGGAATTACTCCACATCTTTAAAGAAGAAATAATACCAAGGCTCCTCAAACTATGCCATAAGATAGAAAAGGAGGGAATACTTCTGAACTCATTCTACAGAGAAAATAATAACCTGAGACCAAAAGCAAATAAAGACACAATAAAAGCATAATTATCAATCAATTTTCTACATCAACATAGACATAAAATCATCAGTAAAACACTTACAAATTAATTTAATAATACATTAAAAGGCTAATGCAACGTGATCAAATTGTTTTAATTCTAAGGATGCAAGAATGGTTCAACTTACATCTTAAGTGAAATACAGCACATAAATTGAATCAGGGAATAAAATTGCATGATTTTATTAATAGATGTAGAAAAATTGACAAAAATTCAATATACCTTTTAATTAAAGCCCTAAGGAATCTAGAAACATAGGATAATACCTTAAATAGACTATATATGACAATCATGCAGGCAACATTATACTGAATAGGGGGAATGAAATAATTTCCTTTAAAATCAAGAATGAGACAATGGTGGACATTCTCTCCACTTATTCAGCAGTGGTGGAATTGCTGGAGAACTAAAGCAAGAGAAAGAAATAAAAGGAATACAAACAGGAAATGAGGAAGTCTAGAATTATCCCTGTTTGCACATGATATGATCCTATATTTAAAGACCGCAAAGTCTCCAACAAAAAAAACTCTTAGAGTTGGTGAATACTCTCAGCAAAACAGCAGGACACAAATGAAGATACACTTGTCAATAAGTTTTCCATATAGCAATAAAGAACATGCTGAAAAAAAAAAGGAAGCAAACAATCCTATTGTCAATAGCCTTAAAAAATATAATATCTAGAAATAAATGAAAACGTAGTAAAATATCAGGACAATTAAAAGTATAATTATTTATAGTTTTATTTACATAATTGGAGAAGGAAATTAGACACTGGAAGAGCAAATGACCTCCGATGTTAATGGATTAGCAGACCTAACATTGTGAAAATGGCTAAAGAACTGCAAGCTCTCTACAAATTCATATAATCTCCATCAAATTTCCAACGTAATTCTTCACAAAACTAGTAAAAATAATCTTAAAGTTCATATGGAAGCACAAATAGTCAATGCAATCCTCAACAAAAATAGCAACGCTGGAACGTATAACAATACTTGATTTTATATTATACTACCCAGTCATGGTAACAAAAATAAGATAATTCTTACAGAAAAACACGCATGAAGAACTAAGGAAAAGAATAAAAGACCCAGAAATAAGCCGAGACCACTATTGCCATTTGATTCTCAACAAAATGTTTCCAAAAATATTGTAGTAAAGACACCCTCTCCAACAAATGGTGTTGGGAAATCTGGATGTCCACATGTAGAACACTGAGTCTGCAATCCTGTTTCTCATCCTATGCAATAACCAGTTCAAAATGGACTGAAAACCTTAGTGAAACTACTACAGAAAAACATAGGGAAAATACTCAAAGATATAATCGTAGGCAATGACCTTCTGAATAGGACTCCAATAGCTCAGTAAGTGACATCAAGAATTTACAAATAGGACTGCATTAAATCAAAATGTTTCTGTACAACAAGGAACAAATTAAGAGTGAAAACAGCCTGCAAATATGGGAAAAAATCTTTGTTAGCTATTCATATGACATAATGTACAGGACATATGTAAAACACAAAAATTAAAACATCAAAAGAACAAATAATCTAAACATTAAATGGGAAAATGAATTGAACAGGCAGTTCTCAATAGAGAATTATTGGCAATTGGTCAATAATTACATTTTAAAAGATTCCAACCTGCTTAGTCATAAGGAAATGCAAATCAGAACTACATGGA